TTAAGGCATATTCACGTTTCGCTTTCTGGAAAATAAATGCGTTAGAGAAAAGCATCAGGTCATATCCTCAGGGACTTTTAAAACTGAAAAACACTTCTTAATTCATATTTCTATCATTCATAATTAGAGGTTTCCTACAGAATGGTCTTTACAATGCACGTGTTGCTTCATAAGCCCCGTTTAGATTTTACTTATATAATTTTTGAGGTCTATATCCACATAAAATTTACTAAACATGTACTCCTATTTGATCTTTATTATACAAAAAATTAATGTTCTTCTTCTTACATATAAATGATCACACACATACATTTTTATTCTCATAAACAATAATTATCTTGACGTAGAAATAATTAAATATGTAGACAGAGTTAGACATAATAGTTACATAACAATCTACAGATTTCCCAATATGTATTGCGTTTTAGACCTTACGTGAATATTGCTCTGGATACGTAAAAAAGTTATTCAAGATCACCAGTTAAAACTAGAGGTACTGTGAGCACTGAGCTCACAAAATGACCCCCCCCCTTCCTCCGCTCCCATATGAGTATAATGACAAAGTCCATTTTGCTTTCGGAAACCCCCAAATAACTGTCTGATCATAAAATAGTAATGTAATAAAGATTCTGTGATTCAGTGATATAGAAAGATCTAGAGCTGGGGATAAGAGATGGGTCTCCAATATACTATAGAAAGAATGGCAATGTCCATTTTTGGCTCTTGTAAATCCCAAATATCTGTTCGACCAGAACATAAAATAGAAGATGCTCAATGGCACAATGTAATTAAAATTCTGCAAAAGTGTCATAAAAATTTATTCAGTGGTATAGGAGGAGTTGCAGATAAGAGATGGGTACCCCCATTATCATAGAAATAATGGTAGTGTCCATGTTTTGCTATGAGAAATTCCGATCAAAATATAAAATAGATGGTGCACAATAACACTATGTAAGAAAGAATCTGTGAAAGTATCATGAAATTTTATTCAGTGGTATAGGAGGAGTTGCAGATAAGAGATGGGTGACCCCAAATGGCTGTGTCCATATTTTGCTATATGTAATGAAGATTCTTTGAAAGTATCATTAAATTTTACTCAGTGCTATAGGAGGAGTTGCAGATAAAAGATGGGTATCCCCATATGTTATATAGAAAGAATGGCTGTGTCCATGTTTGCTACGGTAAACCCCAAATATCAGATTAAAATAGGAGGTGCACAATAGGACTATGTAATGAAGATTCTGTGAGAGTCTCGTTAAATTTTATTCAGTGGTATAGGAGGAGTTGCGAATAAGAGGTAAGTATCCTCAAATGTTATAGAAAGAATGACTATATCCATGTTTTGCTACGGTAAACCCCAAATATCTGTCCGATTAAAACGTAAAATAGGAGGTGCACAATGGAACTATGTAATAAAGATTCTGTGAGAGTCTCATTTAATTTTATTCAGTGGTGTAGGAGGAGTTGCGGATAAGAGATGGGTATCTCCAAGTGTTATGGATGGAAGAACGGACACCCCAATCACTATATACCCCCTGCGTTTCAAGTGGGGGGTATAAAAAGTCTCATTGGATGAAAAACAAATACCCGGTATTTGCACCATCAAGTTTATTATCGCCATTATTGCCTAATCGAAAACAAACCCATCAACGCCGTCATACCATAATCAAAGGAACCAATGATATAACAGGTATAAGGAAACGCAAGACAGATACAAACATATTTATTTTAATTTATTTGTTTTAATAATTAAAAACTTCGAATGAAAATTAGCAATACATGTATATATCTAAAATTATTTTTAAAAACAATAGCAATAATAAACCCCTGCATAGTTTATTGCACAGACTGGTTTAATTTGTTACTTCTTAGCCTAGAAATTTGTGAAGAAATTCTTATAATTTACTAAATACTGACAGTAACTCTCTGCAGGAAATTTATTTTCTTTGGTTGTCTTAGAACTAAAAAAAAATATGAACTTATATAACTAATTTTCAATTTATATAACATATGATCACTGACGTCTAGCCAGAAAGTTACTCGGAAAATAAAAAGAAAAGAAATAGTTGGAGAAAAGCTTCAAAAAATCTTTTAAAAGCTTTTATGCATATATTTTTGTCCGAAAAAGGTGATTCAATATTCAAATAAAAAGTTATTAATCGAAATTTAAAAAAAAAAAAAAAAGAGTAAATTCAACAGCTTTTCTTAGAACTAATTTTTCGCAGATGAGCGAAGGCGTAAAATAATTAAACAAGTCAATTTAGATGAAGTTTTCAAAAATTTACTTACACTTGAGACAAATTGTAGTTTCAAAACTCTGTCGCATCAACATAGACAGAAGCCTGTCTTTGCTTAAAACGTACCCAGAACATGCTCTTGCGTACCGAATCAGTTGGAAGACACAAACATCATATATATGCAGATGTAAGTGAAATATTTCTACATAAATAGGGGTAGTTCACGATGGAAAAAAGAAAGTAATCCCGTTTGTCATATAGTTTATTTGTTAGTTTGCTATTAACGTCTATAGTCAGTAAAATATCCAAATATGAAACAGATTTGGCAGATTCTGTGGTGTCTTTCATTTCGAGTTCACTGGGATATTCCAACTTGATATATAAATGAAAAATAGCCATTGTTAATTGATAATAAAATGTCATCAATATATCTTAAAAAAAATTGAAATTGAACAGTTTTCCGTCAATCTGTATAGTCATTGCCATAATTGTCAAAATGTATCTTAAAATAATAATATGAATTGATGATTGAATCTCAAATCAATCCTTATTTTCAAATAGAAAAAAATTTGAGTGTATTTTGTTTTTGTTGTTTTTTTTTTTACACATAAATATATTCTTTTGTATTTTTAAAAGAAAGTTATGATTTTTTATTCTATATTATTAAATTGAAAATTTACTGAACGACACAAGCTGTCGTATTGTTTACAGGAAGAAATTTGAGCATAGGCACGTAAATGGAATTAAAATCTGGGTTAGGTATATTTTGATGTGTTTTTTCCCTCTTCACATTCCGTTATGTCATTAGAGGGAAATCTGATGTAAAGCTGTTTTGTAACATTGAATAGTTATCTAAATATACGAAAATAAAATCTTCTCTCTCTTTCTTTCCTGCCATTGGATTGAGAGCGGTATACTAAACATTCAAAATTGCAGGCTCCTTATCAATAAGCATATTATAAAAAAGATACTGTTTTCTTTCAATCAAACAGTTATCCCATATTTTGCTTAGTTTTCGTGTAAACTTGATGATTTAGGATGGTGTACAGGTCATTAAGTGCGTCAAGTACATGTAGTCGCACGATTATTAACATTTAGTGTTCAGTGACTTTCAATACTGGGAAGTGAAAAATTTTCTCATGAATCTTAGTATCATCACTCAAATACAGAACGCTTTTGATTAGATACATAACTGTAATATATTTTAGGGTGGTATATATTTTGGCGTTATTCTGTCATGTGCATATTTTGTGACCTGACAATATGTTTTGAGGAACTGGGAATCTAACTCACTAGACAATCTTTTTTTTAAAACCAAGCTGTTAGTCCAATTTAAGCATCCATAAATATGAATAAATGGAGAAAAGGACTCAAATTTTCCACGTTTTTTCCCCCTAAAAATATATTTGAATAGCGGCATATCGAGCAAGAATATATTTTTCTCGTCGAGAATTATATCCTTGTAGATATGTTAAAATAAAGTAGCCATTTAGATAACTATATCTATAATTGAATGGGTAAGGATTAACATGATGATATTTTGCTGATATTGTTGCTTTTAGTGTGTAGATTTGGAAAAACATTACTGTGTCAAATTTCAATAAAATAGCCGACTAAAATAAATGAATAAATACACCTTGCTTTGGACAAAATCAGATTTTTAAAAATTGAAAATGTCATGTATGTTAGAGCTGCAGTATGGAGTAGTGTCAACCTGTCTTTTGGCAGAAGTACATTTTACTTTTTTCATTGATTTATTAGTTGTCCAAACACCTACTACATTCTGACACAGAATACAACACATCCTAATAAAAATGATCCATTTGTTTTTAACACAGGGTTATCTTTAGGTGCAGTTAATGAAAACTATATCAATACATATTTAAGGAGCTAAATTCTTAATATACAAGCTATGATTACATTTTCATTATATACATGTATACCTTTTGAAAAAATTAGTTTTCCTCTTTATTACTCCTAATTCCTTACTTACTGCTCGTGACGTTTGGCGTATGGGGCAGTAACGAGGGTTCTCCATCCTTGACTGTCACAGGCTATCTTCTGGAGTGTGCCTCATCTTCTCTTTTTGTTCTTCTAAAGTCCTCCGAAAAGTGACTTTGGGCCTTCCTCTCTTCCATTTTCCTTCTGGTGTTCAGAAGAGAGCCGTCTTTATAATACTGTCTGAGTATCTTCTAAGTACATGGCCAAAACAATGCCAATGTCTTCCTCTGATGATTGTGGCTATGTCCTCTTGTTGGCACCTGTTGAGAAGGTCCTGATTTGAGATGGTATTGGGCCAAAAAATTCTTAGGATCCTTCTCAGGGACTTGTGGAATGTCAACAGCTTGTTCTGGTCATTGATCTCTGTCATTCTCCAACACTCTGATCCATATAAAGGCTAGGTAGAATGCAGCTTTTGTACAATTTTAGTTTTGTCCTGATGGTATATTGGCTTGATCTCCAAACAGCTTGTAGGTTCTTGAAAGCTGCTCTCGCCTTGGATAGTCTCTGGATAGTCTCTGTTTGACATCAGTCTCTGCTCCACCATCTGTTGTAACTTTACTACCCAAGTATGCAAAGGTGTTGGTACATAGGGAGGATGTGATTTTAGACTTTGCCCCTGGTGGGTTGTTTGCATTTAGCGTCATGACCTCTGTTTTTGGTGTTTATCTTCAGTCCAATGTTTCCAGCCTATTTGTGGAGCTGTTGGTTCTGTCTTGGATGTGCTGGTGGGAGTGAGAGCAAGGCAATGTCATCAGCGAGTTACAGATCTTCAAGTCTTGTGAATGTGTCCCATCTGATGCCTCTCGGAATGTGAGATGTTGTATTCTTCATGACCCAGTCAATGGCTATGATGAAGAGTGTTGATGACAAATACACAGCCTTGACGGACTCCTGTTTAACAGCATACTCGATGGTTCTGTTTCCAACTCTGCATCTGATGTTGACATAAAAACTCTTGATGCTATTTGTTAGATGTTGTGGGATGCCATATGACCGCACAATTTTCCAGACTGTCCCTATGAATGTTGTCGAAGACCCTCCTGTGATGATTTTGGTCATGGTCTTACTTGGGATGGAAAGTAGTGTTTTTCCACGCCAGTTGCTGCAGTCATTCAAGTTGCCTTTCTTTGGTATTCTGATGATGACTCCATGGTGCCATTCCTCTGATATGAAGTTACTTTTCCAGATGTCATGGAAAATTTGGTTGTAAAATTGTGGCTGTAAAAAATGGGTCTGATTTGAACAATTCTGCAATTAAGTTGTCATTTCCAGGGGTCTTTCCATTTTTTCAAAGCTTGTAAAACAGAGACAATTTCTGGAATTTGTGGTGGTTCAATGAAGATATTTAGGTCTGCTTCAGGTTCTTGAGTTGGAGGTGGTCTGTGTAAGATTTCCTTAAATGTTCTGTCCATTTTTCCTCTAGCTCTTGCTATAAAGCCAGCAACTTTACTCTGTTGTTTTTGACAGGTATATTTGACGATGGTCTATTCCTGCCACTCAGTGCCTTTGTTTGTTTGTTTGTTTTGTTTTGTTTTGTTTTTTTTTTTTGTAAAGGTTTCCTTGCTCTCCTCTTTTGGCTGTCTCTTCTGCTTTTGTTGCTAGGGCATCTAATCTGTGCGTAGAACCTTTTACACTTCCTTCTATATTTCACTGTATTCCTGTTGATGTCTCTCTTTGAGACTCGAAGATTTTGCCTCATTTACTTTCTTTTTTGGGGCACTCCTAATAAACTTAAACCTAATTATTATGTAGATATTTTATTATTTCTTTTGTTATGAATCAAAGATGAAAATCAATTTTTTTAGAATTTCTTTTTGTTGTTTTTTTTTTCAAATTTCTCTAAATAGTAGGATGTCTTTATGTGCACTGCATTATATGCACTTTTTGTCTTTTGATAATGACGAAGCGTGTCCCCTGGTAATACGTCTTCATAAAAAAACTGATCATCTTACACTTAAGCCACCCAATGCTTAACCGAAGTTATTTTCTGTTAGAATGTCCAAAGTAAATTTAAAATAATTAAGCTACTGCCACATTTGATACGATGTAAGTAATATAATTTCACTCTTACGTATGCTTTAGTATGTATACATATCTTGTACCCCCAACAAATTGCAGAGAGTCGAAAACTTGGCATTTTATTTTTGAAATGTAGTAAAAAAAAATTACCCCAAAATATAAATTTAATATAAACATTAATTTTCAAAATAAACAAGTGGGTATATTAAGATAAGAATTTTTTTTCAACAAAGATCATCACATGGTTTTGATCTTGCGTAGACATATTACGATATTTACATTTTACTGACGTCTACAACCTTTCTTCTCTTATACAGTTATTTTTCACGTATAATGTACAAAGTTACCTATATGACGCAGAGAAAAAAAAATCAGATAAGATTTAAAGGCCATACTACCTGTGCCGTTAAAAGCTGTCTGTTTTCAAATGATTCATTTAAAAAGTCTTGTGGGATAATTTTTTTAGCCGTATTTGGTTGTGTAGTGATTTAAAAATAAGCAATAACTCTGAGAGTTATAAAAGTGATGCTTCTGTAAATATTTATGTATTTTTTTCTGTCGTTGTTGTTCTTTATTTAATTTGCCTCCTCCCCCCACAACAGAATGAGATGAATATTGTTCTCAGAAAGGAGAGTGAAAAATTATCAGAGAGTGAAGAATTATCATTCACTACATAAAAATCAATAAATGTTAACTCAATTTTAACAACAAGAATAAGCAAAGAATGTATAAAACTCTTAAGTATACCTCGAGTACAGATCAATGTTGATACACATGTACCAGTATATTCAGTCAGCTTAAATGAAAATAAAAATGTTCACTTGACGTTATTTTGTAAATTTACCATCCCAACAACATCACGATTGACCTTTTAAAAGATTTCCAACAAATTATTTATTTTTGATCAGTATAAAAGCAAATGAGATAATTACCCTATCATGAGTATCACAATAAAATAACTATGCAAAATATTTTCGAAATCAAGAGCTGTTTATTAAAGTATATTAATCAGAAAATAATCTTGACATCACGTGAAGGCCCACAATATTTTATAGCATTTATATCTAACAGGATAACAAACAACCAATCAGGGTACAGATATATATGGCTTCATACTGTAATTATTTTTTTCGTGGAGTCCTTACGTGCTTGAGGAAAAAAATGGTTTGTGGAGAATTGATTTTATGTTTGAAAATAAAGTGTTAATTTATTTTAGGTTTGAAATTTGAATATTTCTAGGAGAATATGAATTTAAAGGTCCCTTCATACCTTGTAATGAAAATTAGTAAAATGTTGGATTCGTTATCAAACTAAATGAAATGATTGCATTAGAAATATATGTGTCAACACCCTCGGTTTCTCTACAGAGAGACAGTGAAGTGAAAATGACTTTCAAATACTTAGGTCAACTTCAGTCTTTACTCTACCTATGTATAATAATTGGGTTCTTAGAATATAAAAGGAACAAAATTGGGGGGATAAACTTTTTTAAACCAATGATATGCTGATATTTTAAATATATATTGCGGAATTTAAAGCTTCAGGCTGATATTGCTGAGAAAAAATATAGATTTGGCTGAAATTTATTCTGATTTTTTGTTAAGCAAACAAAATTGTCTAAGAATAAGCAGAGGCCTTTCTTAGAATTAATCAAACAGCATAGCCTTCCAACAAGCATTAAGTATGAGTATTCCTAGGAACGATTTTACTCCTGGTCAAACAATGGTAAAGTTATGTCTGATATTTCGATGTGCAGAAAAAGTTGGTAAAGCTTTGCCGAGTTAGTCACTTACTAAGCTTCACAAAACTTATTTGCAAATATGTCTCGCAGTCATATACATGTACTAGATGACACGCAAAAAACGCAGATCGTGCTTTTCTCACACATCAAATTTTAAGCATTACGGAATCTTAAATGCAATCATTTCACTCAGTTTTCTAGCAGATCTATGTACTCGGTTCATACGAAACTATATTGACTCAGCACTCTATCATTCACAAAAGTTTCTACTACATGTATATGAAACCCATGCGCGGATCTAGAGGGGTTGTTGGGGGGTCCGAACCCCCCACCCCCACCCCCTGGAATTTGTAGCGTTATTAAATGTATACTAAACCAACTAAAAGTGACCTTGGACCCCCCATAGAGAACGCAGACCCCCCCCCCTCAAAAAGAAGTCAACGACTACCCCCCTCCCCCCGAAATAGGTTTTTCACGTTTGGGAAAGTAGTTTACTTTTTTTTTTTTTTTTTTTTGCTTGGCAAGAATTTTCTAGGTTGGATTTTTTTTTTGACTGGGGTGGAAAAATTCCTGGATCCACGCCTGAAACCTATACTCTATACTCAGTTGACCCCTATATGAACTCGGCAAGACATTCCAAAAGTGAGTTATGATGCCATGCTGAAAATGTGTACGGTATGAATGGAATACTTCATTATAAATTCTCTTTATATTACCAGCAATTTATGTTTAGTTGTCTATTTAATAAGTGATCGAATTACGTACGACTTTGAAATTTGGCACGATTTTGCTTTGAATTAACAAATTTTATCAAACTTTGCTTTTACTCCATGCTGATCACCTACTTATATGCCTGAAACTATATATCTGATGTTCAAAAAATATTCTTGTTCCAGGAACACGATGTTACCCACATTTCAAAATCATTATAGGATTATAGCCCAGTACATATAGGTCATTAATGCATAACCGTGAAAATCACCAGTTTTTCTCACTCGAGTTTATGTACATCTATGTCTCATGTTGATGTGACTTTCCAAAAAAATAAAGGTGGTTGCCTTGCTATCCATTAGGCAGGAACTTACACTTTTTGTGATAAGGGAAAAAAGCGTCAAGTGCCTGTGAACAGAATTCTATGTTGTGACAACGTATTTCCCAGAGACGCAATGTCATTTCTTGCCATGTACACTGCAAATCAAATAAGCCAAAACAAAAAGATTTAATTATAAAAATAGCTCTTAAAAATGACATTGCCAATTCAACGTGAATAAGTATGACATTGCCCTTTACTTGTCTTTAGAAATTGATGCGAATGACAAAACATACTTGTAATAAGCTTAAGATTAAACATAGATAACAATTCAAAGCACCCAAAACCAAAATGATCTTTCAAAATCATGTGGTTGCAGCGGGAGTATATTCTTTGCAGGAGTCGAGTCAAGTTGGGCGATGAATTCATTTCATTGTGAATTTATGTACATGTAGGCACTAGCTGACAGGTATAATTTTGAGATTTTAAGAACGATCTCATCTTCATTCTTCAAATCATCAAGATTTTGGGGATTTCCCAGAGAGCTTAATTCTATAGCATATCGGGAAATTTGGAAATTTTGTTGTGTTTTCATATATTTTTGAAAACTTGGATTGCTCCATGAACGAATTAGAAGAGGAATTGTCAAATAATTAAGAGAATTCAATCTTAATATCTAATATACAATAAAATTTCCACTTTTCTTAAATATTAAGGATAAATTTTACTTCGTGAAAATACAGGGATGTGTGTCAATCAAACACGTCTCGAAATTGGTAGTTTTACTGATAATAATTTTCAGATGAAAGAAGTTTCTACACACGCTTTTATAATATGTAGGTCTGATCATGTAATTCATGATATTATATATTTTATAAATTTTAGAAAATATTAACATCAAATCTGTGTCCAAGCCCCTTTAAAATATTCAGCAAGTTTTTGATCAAAATTATTTTAGGTGCTTATGTAAAATACTTTTTTTTATTGTATTTGATAAAAGGCTAGCTCAGAACCAGAATTTTATGTAACTCTCTCTCTCTCTCCCTCTCTCTCTCTCTCTATGAGTTTGCTATTTTTGATTTCTAATTTGATGGTTGAAGAAATTATTGTGGTATAAATTTTCCGGTACAAAATGTTAAAAGACTTCATCGACTAAATTTTAAAAACTATCGAAATTAGCGCACGTGTGTGTATATCCTCAGAACTCATTTGAATTTTCTCCAAACTTATTTGAATCTTTCATATTTTTAGCATAATTTTATTCAGCTATTTTATGGTAAGATAGAAAATAGAAATTTTAAGTATACATGGAATATTTTTGGCATCCTAATTAAACATTAATCTGATTCGTATATATGTAAACATTTTTATAATTCAGGATTTAACCTACAGGTGTCAAGGGTTTAAAGAGTACAGTGCTTTTCTTTCGAGTTTTGAAATGATCATATGCTCATCCGTTCAATTTAGATTTTAAAAAGTTTTCCTCAAAAAGGGAATATGTAATATTAAGTTTACCCATCTTTTTGTTAGCGGAAGGAACTTAAGTGATGGATAAATTACAACAATATATTACTGCATGTTTGGTGATAAATCAGTCATTTATTCTACAAAATGATAACATT